AATTCTGATTCAGAAAATGACTTTCTCGACATTTTTTGGGACTTCACCCTTCTCGCCAAATTTTTACCCAACCATAGCTCCGGACCACAGCAACGGCTGGCGACAAGACTACCACCATTCGAATCAGCGTCAAATTCTGATTCGGGAAATGACTTTATCGACATGTTTTGGGATTTCAGACTTCTCGCCAAATTTTCACCCAACCATAGCTCCGTACAAAAGCAACGGCTAGCGACAAGACTACCACCATTCGAATCAGCGTCAAATTCTGATTCGGGAAATGACTTTCTCGACATTTTTTGGGATTTCACCTTTCTCGCCAAATTTTCACCCAACCATAGCTCCGGGCCAAAGCAACGGAGAGCGGCAAGACTACCACCATTCGAATCAGCGTCAAATTCTGATTCAGAAAATGACTTCCCAGACATTTTTTTGGATTTTACCCTTGTCGCCAATTTTTCACCCAACCATAGCTCCGGACCAAAGTAACGGTTGTCGACAAAACTACCACCATTCGAATCAGCGTGAAATTCTCATTCGGGAAATGACTTTCTCGACATTTTTTTGGATTTCACCTTTCTCGCCAAATTTTCACCCAACCATAGCTCCGTACCAAAGCAACGGCTGGCGACAAGACTACCACCATTCGAATCAGCGTCAAATTCTGATTCAGAAAATGACTTCCCAGACATTTTTTTGGATTTCACCCTTCTCGCCAATTTTTCACCCAACCATAGCTCCGGACCAAAGCAACGTTTGGCGACAAGACTACCACCATTCGAATCAGAGTCAAATTCTGATTCAGAAAATGACTTCCCAGACATTTTTTTGGATTTCACCCTTCTCGCCAATTTTTCACCCAACCATAGCTCCGGACCAAAGTAACGGTTGGCGACAAAACTACCACCATTCGAATCAGCGTGAAATTCTCATTCGGGAAATGACTTTCTCGACATTTTTTTGGATTTCACCCTTCTCGCCAATTTTTCACCCAACCATAGCTCCGGACCAAAGCAACGGCTGGCGACAAGACTACCACCATTCGAATCAGCGTCAAATTCTCATTCCGCAAATGACTTTCTCGACATTTTTTGGGATTTCACCTTTCTCGCCAAATTTTCACCCAACCATAGCTCCGGACCAAAGCAACGGCTGGCGACAAGATTACCACCATTCCAATCAGCGTCAAATTTTGATTCAGAAAATGACTTTCTCGACATTTTTTTGGATTTCACCCTCCTCGCCAAATTTTCACCCAACCGTAGCTCCCGAACAAAGCAACGGCTGGCGACAAGACTACCACCATTCGAATTAGCGTCAAATTCTGATTCAGAAAATGACAAGAGGAGCCAGGGAACGCGAAAGCCGCCACTCGATTTAGCGTAAAATTCCAATGCAGAAAATGAGGTCATCGACATTTTTCCACCACACCTCACTTTTCTCAAATTTTCAGGCCGCGATATCTCCGGAATGAACAGGAGGCGGGGAAATAGACAGCAACCATTTGATTCAGCGTCAAATTTTAATCCAGAAAATGACGTTATCCACATTTTTCGACCACACCCCAATTACCCAAAAGTTTCAGGCCGCGATATCTCCGAAGCGAAGAGGAGCCTGGGAACTAGACTGCAAGCATTCCTTTCAACGTAAAATTCTAATCCAGAAACTGACATTATCCACATTTTCGACCACATCCCATTTTCCTCAAAGTTTCAGGCCGCGATGTCTCCGTAAAGAAGAGGTGCCTGGGAACTAGGCAGCAACCATTCGATTCAACGTAAAATTGTAATCTAGAAAATGACGTCATCGACATTTTGCAACCAAACCCCATTTACCCAAAATATTCAGGCCGCGATATCTCCGGAACGAAGTGGAGGCTGGGAACGCGATAGCCCCCAATCGATTCAGCGTAAAATTCCAATCCAGAAAATGAGGTTATCGATATTTTTCGACCACACCTCACTTTCCTCAAATTTTCAGCCCGCGATATCTCCGGAACGAACAGGAGCCTGGGAAGTAGACAGCTACCATTCGATTTAGCGTAAAATTCTAATCCGGAAAATTTCCTTTTCGACATTTTTCGACCAAATCCCATTTTCCTCAAATTTTCAGGCCGCGATATCTCCTGATCGAAGTCACGGCTGTGGACGAGAGAGCCACCATTCGATTCAGCGTAAAATTCTAATCCAGAAAATGACGTTATCGACATTTTCCACCACACCCCATTTTCCTCAAATTTTCAGGGCGCGATATCTCCAAAGCGAAGAGGTGCCTGGGAACTAGACAGCAACCATTCGATTCAACATATAATTCTAATCCAGAAAATGACGACATCGACATTTTTCGACCACACCCCATTTACCCAAACGGTTCAGGCCGCGATATCTTCGAAACGAAGAGCAGGCTGGGAACTAGACAGCAACCATTCAATTTAGCGTAAAATTCTATCCAGAAAATGACGACATCGACATTTTTCGACCACACCTCATTTACCCTGAAGTTTCAGGCCGCGATATCTCCGAAACGAAGAGGAACCTGGGAACTAGACTGCAAGCATTCCATTCAACGTAAAATTTCAATCCAGAAACTGACGTCATCGATATTTTTCGACCACACCTCATTTTGCTCAAGTATTCAGGCCGCGATATCTCCGGAGCAAAGAGGAGCCTGGGAACTGGACAGCAACTATTCGATTCAACGTAAAATTGTAATTTAGAAAATGACGTGATTGATATTTTTCGACCACACCCCATTTCCCTCAAATATTCAGGTTGCGATATCTCATGTCTGAAGTCACGGCTGTGGACAAGACAGCCACCATTCGATTCAACGTAAAATTCTAATCCAGAAAATGACGTCGTCGACATTTTTCGACCAAACCCCATTTCTCCAAAATTTTCAGGCCGCGATATCTCCGGAACGAAGAGGAGCCTGGGAACCAGACAGCAACCATTCGATTCAACGTAAAATTGTAATTTAGAAAATGACGTGATTGACATTTTTCGACCACACCCCATTTCCCTCAAATATTCAGGTTGCGATATCTCATGTTTGAAGTCACGGCTGTGGACAAGACAGCCACCATTCGATTCAACGTAAAATTCTAATCCAGAAAATGACGTCGTCGACATTTTTCGACCACACCACATTTTTCCAAAATTTTCAGGCCGCGATATCTCCGGAACGAAGAAGAGCCTGGGAAGCAGACAGCAACCATTCGATTCAGCGTAAAATTCTAATCCAGAAAATGACATCATCGAAATTTTTCCACCAAACCGCATTTTCCTCAAATTTTCAGGCCGCAATATCTCCGGAACAAAGAGGAGACTGGGAACTAGACAGCGACCATTCGATTCAACGTAAAATTGTAATCTAGAAAATGACGTCATTGACATTTTTCGACCACACCCCATTTCCCTCAAATTTTCAGGCCGCGATATCTCCTGATTGAAGTCATGGCTGTGGACGAGACAGCCACCATTCGATTCAACGTAAAATTCTAATCCAGAAAATGACGTCGTCGACATTTGTCGACCACATCCCATTTTCCTCAAATATTCAGGCCGCGATATCTCCGGAACGAAAAGGAGGCTGGGAACTAGACCGCAACCTTTCGATTCAACATAAAATTCCAATCCAGTAAATGACGGCTGGGAGCAAGACTACCACCATTCGATTCAGCATAAACCTGTGATTCAGAAAATGACTTTTTCGACATTTTTTGGGATATCCCCCTTTTCCCCAAATTTTCACCCAGCAATAGCTCCTGACCAAAGCGACGGCTGGGAACAAGAGCACTACCATTCGATTCTGACTTTTTCGACATTTTTTGGGATATCACCCTTTTCGCCAAATTTCACCCAGCCATACATAGCTCGGGACCGAAACCACGGCTGGGATCGAGCCCACCACCATTCGATTCAGCGTCAAATTCTAATCCACAAAATGACGTCATCGACATTTATCGACCACACCCCATTTTCCTCAAATTTTCAGGACGCGTTATCTCCGGAACGAGGAGGAGCCTGGGAACTAGACAGCAACCTTTCGATTTAACGTAAAATTCTAATCCAGAAAATGATGTCATCGACATTTTTCGACCACACCCCATTTTCCTCAAATTTTCAGGCCGCGATATCTCCGGAACGAAGAGGAGCCTGGGAACTAGACAGCAACCTTTCGATTCAACGTAAAATTCTAATCCACAAAATAACGGCTGGGAGCAAGACTACCACCATTCGATTCAGCGTCAAATTGTGATTCAGAAAATAGCTTTTTCGACATTTTTTGGGATATCACCCTTTTCGCCAAATTATCACCGAGCCATAGCTCCTGACCGAAGCGAGGACTGGGAACAAGACTACTACTGCCTCGTACCCAGGCGCAATTAACTAAAAATAGGCACACTACAGTGTTTTCATACAGATCAGTGGTTTGAGCGGGCGGGGGTGCTTGGGGAGGACGCAGGAAACGAAGCGCCTGGCAGAATATGTAACAAACATGGCGGATGACTTATCCATATTCATAAATGCAAATGAGGAAATTGCTATTCTCGATGAAATTGAAAGGCCTGTCCATCGAGCGGTACATTTGGGAAAGATTTTATGCCCGAATGATCAATGCGTTAATAATAAAGTTTTTTTTCTCGAAAACGGTATTGTTCATCATTATCGAATAAAGCACAAACAAGATTTTACGAGCGCTGAAAGAAAAGAATCTACTCGAATATGCAATGAATTACATCAGGAAGAAACAAATATCCATGGAAACGATATTTGAATATCGTAGGAGAAAGGTAAGAATGGTCAAGAATGTAAATCCTGCTATAAACATATACATGTATGTCTACTATAACAATTATAAAAATGAAAATATTAATGTTCGAGTTAATGTATGAAATGTTTTATTATACAGAATCAAAGTTACCGTGATGTTACTGCATCTTCTTGTGGACGAAACCTCGCATGTGCCGTACACAACGAGCATGAGGCTGTGCTATTTATGTGCCTGGTACAGTACCATGCAGGATGTTTAAATTCATATAGTCAAGGAAATCAGCCGTGTGAAGTTGTAATAACAAGTGATGCGTTGGAGGCAAAATACAATTGCTGGTATTTAAAGAAAAATGTGGGCAGTGGTGTTTATTTTCAAACCGAATGTTTTTTTGTGAAACGGGTAAGTTCTCATTCCAATTAATGGTTCATTTATCTTTATATTGCGATATAAATGCAAGGTTGTTTTTATGAGCCTGGCCATAATGATAGCAAAATTTAAAGTGGTTATATAAATATTTTTACAACATTGTTGAGATACATATATTTTAAGATACCAAGTAACATCAAAGGCTTTATTAATTAAATGTGATAATATCACATAAATTAATAAAGCTTCTGATTTTGCTTGGTAATATACTTAGTAATGGTTTTCCATATTGTTGCTACCGAATATTTAATTTCATATGCCATGGCTAAGACTGAGTACAGTTGTGCTACAATCAAGCAAAGCTATTTGATGGTGGTTTTAATTACATTAGTTGTTTTCATTTCCGAGATTGATAATGTAAACCAACCCTACTGTTACAATCTGTAATAAAACATGTAATAAATCAACATGCCCCTACATGTTCATGTTATCACATATTCACTTCTACAGTAATTACTGTACTTAATTGAAGTTTACACATTCATTAACCCATTAGTCACATTGCACCCTGATGGGCCCTAGTTTATTATTTTACTGTCTAACGCCAGATAATTTTGCTTGTCAAGAGGAGAGCGCTGGCACTTAATGGGTTAACTAGCATGTCTGTCTATATGTATAGTTAATCCATTGAGTCGCATTGCACCCTGATGCACCCTACTTTATTATTTTACTCTGGCTAATGCCAGATGATTTTACCCGTCAAGGGGAGAGCACTAGTGGTTAATGGGTTAACTAGCATGTCTACCATGCACCCTACTTTATTATTCCACTCTGTCTAAAGCCAGATCATTTTGCTCTTCAAGAGTGTCTAATGGGTTTAATCAGTCAAATGTACACAGAGGCAACTGACTTATTAACCAATTAAGCATGTGAAAACTGACTATGCAACTGAATGTAAACTCTAGGGGACTCACAATTTTAGTAGATTCTGTTATTGTCCTAATATGTAAATGGTCACACTGTAAGATGTAAAGACATTAGCATACTGAGTATTATTCTGCACAGGTGAAAGTTTTAACAGGCAGGCCATGTTATCATTGCTATAGAGAGAATAATTCATGGGTATTACAGAAAATAATAATCACTAATAATATACGTGAAAAATATTTTCTAAACTAATTGCCTAATACACTTTTTAGGCAAAAGTAAAACAGCGCCAAAAACTATTTTACATTATTACATTTAGTCTGTAAAAATTTATTGTTGTAAGGTGGATTTGTGACCAGATTGTATTACAGGAGCTAAACTGTTTCAAACATCTGGAATACCATAATAATTTTTAATAGAAAATATAGTTAGGGAAATATTTAGTGTAAATATATAAAGATAAGGGAAATATTTAGTTAAGTATGTCCAAAATAAACCGTGCTCAGTAAATAGGCATATATTTATGACCATACTACCACCCAATGCAAATCAACTAATTTCACTTACATCTAAATACTACCGCCCATTGCAAATCATGGTAAACTAATTTCACCTACATCTAAATGTAAAATTAAAATTTAAAACTAATTTTTTAAACTAGGATTACAGATCAACCATGAATATACATGTACCAATGGCTGATGTCACTTCACTTCAGGAGGCTGTTATTGATGACCGGCAGGTCCCTTAACCATCTGATGACCTAAATCTTGATATTTTGCAAAATATCTTTCACCATCAAAATTTGAGGGGCATACAGAGGGATGCTATAGAATGTAATGCCTTGGATAAAGATGCCTTAGTCGTAATTCCTACTGGCGGGGGAAAATCTAGCTGCTACTGGATTCCAGGCATGGCCATGTCGGGAGTAACTGTGGTTATTACACCACTTATGGCATTGCAAAGTGATCAGGTTAACAAATTAAGGAACTATGGAATAAACGTTTGCAGTGTGAATTCAAGTATGCCAGCAGAAGAAAGAGAAATTGTATTCCATAGTCTGTCTCAACCCGAAACGGCGTTCAATTTGTTTTACCTCACACCTGAATTCGCCCTATCTCCACCTGCTATGGCATGTTTTAAGTCAATGGTAGAAAATAAATCACTATTGCGATTCATCGTTGACGAAGCTCACGGCGTTGATATGTGGGGATAAAACGTTCGACCATCTTATGGTGAGCTATGGAATTTAAAACGAATCTAACAAAAGAGAGGATTGTGAAAAATTTAGGGTTAGATGAGGCTGTGGTTATTCAATCAACATGTAATCGGAGTAATTTGATCTTCAACGTTGTTTCTAAAAGCGGACCACATGCAAAAGAAGATGTGGTAAAATATGTTCAAGATAATTATCGTGATTCTTGTGGCATTGTGTATCGTTCTACAACAAAGGATACTGTTGAGTTGGCCTATATATTTAAGTCAAAGGGCCTGTCAGCCGTTTACTATCATGGCAAACTAGATTTTTTTGAAAAAAAAGACAATGCTAAAGCTTGGCTGTCCGGAAAAGCGTCAGTTATGTGTGCGACCAGTGCATTTGGAATGGGCATCGATAAGCCAAATGTCCGTTTTGTTGTCCATCTTAGTTTGCCAAAATCACGTGAAGAATATTATCAAGAGGCAGGGAGGGCTGGCCGTGATGGAACAAAGTCACACTGTACGCTCATGTATCGCTTTTGAAGACAGGAACAAGCTAATCCAGTTGATTTCTAAATCCTCGAGTGAAGAACACTTGGAATTCCAAATGACTTCTCTTAATAAGGTTGTATCATATTGTATGTCACATGTATGCAGACGAAAGCTATTAATGGAATATTTTGACGACGAGACAGAAGCCAACTGTAATGGAACCTGTGACAATTGTTCGAAAACGCCACCAGCTATTAAGGATTACACGAATGAATCGATCAATGTGTGCCATTGCGTCGACGAAATGCTAGCAGTGAATGCGAAGATTAATGTCAAGCAGGTGGCACTCGCTTTTATTTAAAGGCTCGAAATCAAAACGTGACATAGAAAGCAAAGGTTTTCACGTCATTTCCCATTATGGTTCAGGGAGAAATGTTTTCAACAATGATGCAGACGCTATTAAATTTGTGCAACACCTCATCGTACATGAAGTGTTGTGGGAGAATGTCCGTGCAGTAGATGATAGATTTACAACGCCATATATTACACTGGGGAAAAAGGCACAATCATTAATAAACAGAGAAATATGCGTGTTCTTAATGATATAATTGAGAAAGCAATGTCCTCTTTACGGTTGTCCTCACATAAAGCATGGTTTTCACTTGCAACGTATAAAGGTAAGAGGGAAAATAACGCATGACGTTTCTGAGGTTTGTGAAGACAACGCGGAAAGAATTTTATTTTGAATTTGCTTCAGTTACTCTCTTAGGGGCTGTTTCTATGGTCCCACTTACACGGGATTCAATGAAGTGTGAAGTATTCTGAGCAATTGAAATAAGTCGCACTTCATGATCTAACAAAATTGCTTGTTACAGATTGTATGAAATTCCATGTTTTGCACAAAAAAACCAAAATGTTGAATGCTATTAATCGTCTTATTCCACTACAAAACTTCTAGCACTTTCCTAATTTCGTTTAAGCAATATTTAAAGTTATCTAACTTTTGTTTAGGGCTGAATTGGTCAAAATACGTCACACTTCATTGAATCCCGGGTAAGCGGGACCATATAAACAGCACCTTAGCTTATATCGATGCTTATGTTGCACACTTCATTCCTTTTTATTGTTTCGTCTCATCCTCGTTCCCAGGAGCAAATAACTAAAAATAGGTACAATCAGTGTTTTTATATAGATAAGTGGCCAAGATGGCTGCATCCTCATCTTAGACACTGATCTATATAAAAACACAGGTAGTGTGCTATTTTCAGTTATTTGCGCCTGGGTACGAGGCTGGTTTCGTCTATTGTCTTTCCTTATGCTCATGTTGCAAGTCAAAACTATAGGCTAAAAAGCCAGTCGCGAAAAGTGCGATGGTATTTTATGAAATGAATATTCGTCTCGCTTACTAGGTACTATTCATGCAAACAAGTTTCAGCTATATTCATACAAACAAGTTTTGCGTGCAAATTCCCATAAACTGCTGTATTAATTTACTGATTAAGGTGGCTCCCTACAGTTCTCTAAAATTCTAGGTATTTTGAGTAAAGTTCGCTTTGAACCGAATTTATATTAGATACACTTAAGACAAGGCAATATGATCATTACCAGGAAAGTTCAGAAGCTGTTCGTGTTGCCATGGCAACCATGATGTTTAATTGTTTGCACTTTTATTGTCTAATTTCACAATAAATTGACAATATCTATATTTTCCTTCGGTGAATTTTTCTGAAATTTTTTTTGAAGGTTTATGGTCCATAAAGGAAAAACATGTCAAAATTTGAAGGGAATTTACAAATAAGTTTTCGAGATATTCGTGAATGACGGTTACAGAAAAAGTTATTTGTAGAATTTCTTAAAATTTGAATATGTTGTACCACTCGTCTTGTATAACAAAATTACAAAGTTTAAAAAAATTTCACCGAAGAAAACACGAGAAAATCATCGCTAAAATCGGCGTGGCCAGCATGAAAAAAAATCGACTCGACATGAGCACGATCTGCGCATGCGTGTAAATTGTAGCGTGTGATTTATAGTGATTTCAACTTTTTTGGCTTACAATACATACGAAAACAGATATTTCTGACTTGTTTGACATGAAAATAAAATATTAATCTTGAAAATACTAATAAAAAAACACTATTATACGCATTGTATTAAATCCAGTATTAGTTTACATTTGTTTTTGTTGTTAAAATCGGTGTGAAAACTTTTCAAAACATCGAACTACAAGTTTAACTTTTCATATAAAACAACTCATAACTGTTTTATTTGATTTAGCAGATAAAACGATACCTGTGAATTGAATTGAATTGATTGACAGAACTTACATAAGTTTCGGCGACAGTTCACTACTGTTCAAGAGTTATAGAAGACATTATCATTTTAGTTTGACAGTTCGCAACACAACAAGTTGAAAATTTTGAGCAATATGAAAGACAATACTGAACGTAAATACGTAAAAACACAGTAAAAGATTGGTTAAACTAGTTAATAACATACGTACTGTTCGAATTCACAAAAAAATTAGGATTATAATGAAAAACTGGAGCTTTCTTTGTAGATAAAAACGCCAAAAAACTTCCCGCGGCTTGTTTCAATATTTTTGCCGAACAGTAAACACGACGATACCACGCGCAGGACGCGAGGATGAAGTCTGATCTATATAAATCGTATTTAAACTGTACTAACTGTAGGGAGCCACCTTAAGCCAATCAGCGATTCGTTTACATCATTGTTTACATCGTGCCCGCTGATCTAACCTGCGAACGGGCATACTTTAGCCTCGTCAGGCCTCGTGTATAAATCGTGTTTATATTCTTTCCAATCTCGTTCCCAGAGTATGCCTGTTCGCGGGTTAGATTAATCAGTGAACTCTAATAAGACTGGAACGATAACTCAGGTAAACATGCCCATACTTGCCTGAAGCCAACCGTGCAAGGAAATTGCACTTTTAAAAGGACTAAGGAGAGTTTCGAGGAGTGGGAAATTCAGTCAAAGTTTATTTTCGACGAAAGAAAAGTCGTTTTTCATCAAAAGACTTCAATTTTAAAAACGCAAATACGATTTATTTGATAGTTAGAACTGCTTTGCATCCTACAACAGCAAAAGTTTGAAGGGTATCAGGTTTGTTTTCATAAAAACGACACTAGTTGAACGTGCCGAAGTGAACTTTGCTCTTTAACTAAAAAAAACCAACTTTAAAACATAAGTCTACGGACCAATACCTTTTTTGTATTAACGTCTAGGTATAGTTGTTTATTTTGAGTGCTTTTTGACTTCTCTAAAACGTGAATAAATCGATTTTCCGTAGAAATCCCCCGTGATGTGCGATTTGTGATTTGGCGCCCGGGAGAAGTTCGCGCGCTGTGACTTTCAAAAAAGAACTGGGGAGAGTTCAATTTCCTCATAATTTTGTTTTTTTAGCAAAAATACGCCGAAAAATTAGGTTTTTCGTCCGAAGATTTCAATTTCAAATATTCAAACTTGGTTTTCTGGATAGTTCTAAGTATTCTACATCCACTAACAGCAAAATCTCGAAAGGTACCATTTTTGTATTCAAGAAAATAACAAAATATTTTCCGTGCCGAACAAAATACGACTTTCAGGTACACAAAAAATAACGTTAAGTCTTTTCCACGGCTTCCAAACATGATTTGTGCAATAGTCCAAGTATCGTAGATGTTTTTAAGCTTTTTATCTATGTTCTAGCATAGCTAGAAAGGCAGAAATCCGAGTTTTTCGAAGAGGTGTATTTTCGACGCCTACCGTCCATGGCGGCCTTCAATTTGGCTTCAAAGATGGCGGCCGAGTTATCGTTCCAGTCTTATTAGAGTTCACTGGCCACAATCTAACCCGCGAACAGGCATACTCTGGGAACGAGATTGTATTCTTTCAAAAATATCTTGATATTTTTATCAATTTATCTTGAATTGAAGACAGCCAATTTGAATGAACTTGCGATATTATTCCGACGTTATTTATCAACATGGAATCTTATCCTCATCTGGTAAGTAGTGAAATACCACATATTATTTATTTAAATACCAAATTTGTGCAAATGTATGTCCAACATTAAACATATTTTATAAGTTTTATAATTAATACACGAGTTCGCCAGTTCGGCAAATATTTACTATACTATCTATAGTATTATTGCCGTATCTTCGGCGTAGAGTTTACATGGAATGCACTCTGGAATTTTTTATTAATATATTACACTGTTAAAATATTGGATATTTTCGAGGATATTTTAAGCTATTTGTCAACATAGTTCGCAAAAATTATTAAAAACAATCCTTCTGTGACTTCTGTAATATTTTAAACAGTGAAAACATTCTCAGGAGATATTGAATTAAATCCTGGTCCTGTATTTCTGTATATTGACTCCATAACTCTGTTCAAAACAACAGTCCAACTATAAAGCTGTCATCAAATATATGTAGTGTTAGAGCAAAGGTTGAAGATGTTATCAGTTAAAATACTTATACATTTTGGTTTTAACATTAGAGTTAATTAAACAAAATTTTTACAAACATTTTCAAATAAAAGAATCCTCACCCTCCCGAGCCTCATTACATTGTCATTTTGCTTTCTAACATAAATATTTCTCTTTAGAGATTAATACAAGAATGAAGAATAAATGTACTGGATATTGGCTGGATAATTTTGTCAGAACAACCAACTTGCAAGACAATCTTACCTAAATTCATTAGTATGGAAAATAACTTAACAGCTACAATGAGTAATCATATATTATATGGTGGATTTGATCAATGGCACACAATGTACAAAACTAAACTTGTGATACCTTCTACTCAAACCGATAATCTTCCACAACACGATTGTTTTTGTGTGAATGTGCTGTACGTGTTAAACCGAACAGTGTGGTATATCATTAACTGTGCACAGAACTGGAATTTAATTATATACTTCACTCATGACCTTCAAAACATTCTCAATTATTCAGTGGTCTTCGACATGTTCACCAAATATTTTGTGTATGTTACTCAACAGTTAACATTGGCAAGTGTAAACAACAAGTGACATAACTTTTGCTTCATATGATTACAATAAAGTTTTGAAAATTTGATGAGTATGGATTGAATTGACAGGTGACAGTTTACTAAATAGCCGGCTGTATAGACACTTTGAATATTGTTTGCATAAAATTTTTATTTCCTGACTGCATAATTATCTGTTACAATCATAATCACATTATAAAGTTGGTTAAATTTTCTCGGTGCGGGCGTGGGGTAGCACTTGCCCTGCTGCACTCCCCGCTGTGTACAGCCCTGTTTTAAATCTTATCTGCCATTATAATAAGTGATGAAATATTTCAATTGTCCCATGTCATCTTCATTATTCAGTTTCTTTCAAGAAAATACAAAATGTGAATCAAGTTTTTTCGCAGATACATGTACGCGGTCGCGTACCTATTTTTATATCATATTACGTGCGGAGACTTCGATACCCCCCCCCATTGTTTTGCGATATTACCCACCAATGCTTTGCGGGCATAAAAACTTAAAAACTTAAATTTATCTGCCTCTGGTATACACCGAAAATATATATTACGTGCCCCCGCAATATATACCTCCTTGGGTTTTGGCCCTCTGGGACTAGCCTGCGAGCAGGCTCTCTGGGGAAAGAGAGCCTGCAAGGATCCCTATGATGATTTGGTGCATGCGTCCAATATTTGGACGCAGTGCTCTGATTGGTTGATAACTGATTCATATGAAGTGATTGACAAGCTTCCATAAACTTGCACTTCCCGTTTGTAAAACCGAGCAACGCAAAGCTTCGGAATTGCGGCAATGTAGAGATAAAAGTGTCATGTATTTTGATCCTGGTTGACTTTTTACTGTAAATTAATATAGTATTCATATAAAGACGAATACTAAAAGCTTGCATGCTTTATTGTGTCCTTGGCTTGTCTGACTCCTAAGCGAAGAATAATTCTTGAGAAAGACTGCACAAATTCGCAAACCGAAACCTAGGGACAAGGCATTATATCGCTTCTCTTTTATGAAACAATATTGGGAATTCTGATAATATTCAGTGCATATTGTGTGTATTCAGCTTGTTTTACAATGTTATACTGACTATTTAATATTTATAAGTATGCGGCGTTAAAATGTACAGTAATTTACTCGTCACTTTGTTTACAATAATTATCACATGCATGTTTACTGCAATTCCACTTTTTGTTGCAAAATTTGAACTATAAACATATTAAATTATGTCCAATGTCCATGGTATATCATATATTATGTCTATGTCTCACCAAAGCCATAAATTTCAGTAAGTTATATTACTACTATATATATAGACTGTATACAGTGTATATTATATATTGCAGCACGAAGCAATTCCAAATAACTGAATTAGTTAGCGGGTAATATACAACTTTAAACTTACTGTGCCTACAGGAGAAACACATGCAGATTGTAATAAAAAGTACAACTTGATATATTACCCTGTAAAACCTCGAGCCGTTTTAACTTTTTTAGTATGCCACAGTGGCGGTCTGTATACGAAACTATTAACGAATTTGAAACGAATCGGTTTATGTTTACAATATCGTAGTGTATTCCGGTCTGCGCTGATTGGTTGTTATTAATTGACCTGTGACATCATAATTGAAGGGCGGCACGCAATCATCATAGGGATCCTTGCAGGCTCTCTTTCCCCACAGAGCCTGCTCGCAGGCTACCTATCATTCAACATCATTCATTAATCCCTTGTACATTTTGTACATATTTTTAATTTATAAAATATTTAACAATTTCTGTTTCAATCAATAAGGCCCGTTTCATATGCCGTACTTCACATTACTTCACATTAAAAACAATAGATAATGAGGCATTTCAGCTAATTATCTAATATATCTATTGTCTTTAATGTTTCGGCACATGTGAAGTATGGCGTATGAAGCGGGCCTAAGTTAATTACAACATAACAATATTAATGGATAATGCGATAATTTAAGATGTACATTAAAAGACGATAATAAAATCCTAAATTTATATATATAAATTAATACTCACATATTTACATACATTAAATATTGTTAAATATTTATTTCTATAGTTTTATGTCTACAACCTGATGCCATCAATGTCTTTGCTATCACCAGATTGTTTGGACTATGATTCTTATGTGTGAGGATCATTTTGATGAAGATTTTGTCTGATTTTCTAGAGTCAAGAAAAGCCAACATCCATGTACATGCATGTAGTCATGGGCACCCAGATGGAGGGGGTGGGGGAGGGGAGACTTTCTCTGGGCCCCTAGCTAAAGGCATCACAACAACAATTGCAAAACATCAATAAAAAAGATACATTGAGGAGCTCAACTTCTCTAGCTATTAAAAAAAGAAAAACTTTAAACAATATATTATTACATTAAACAAACTGTCACTGAGGAAGTTTCTCAAAACCTCCTCCAAATTTCCACAAAAGAAATTTCCTCTCTAATTAACAAAGCCAAAAACCGGTATAGCAATATTAAATATGGGACCAGTACAATTTTTCTGAGCACAGAAGAAACGCACAAGAAAGTTCTCATCCCCGATTTATGAACCTTGTAATTTCGCAACAAAATTAACTTACATCTTTCATGAGTCTTTCCAAGTTCCTATTTCGACCAACTTCCTCATGTTCTTTCCTACAAAAATGATTTTTTTAATCAATCCTTATTGACTTTAATAATTAATTGAATCAAAACAAACAGCACACACATAGTTATGAACTAAAATTGTTATGAACTGATATTAACTAAAATATAAACAGTCTTGAGATAAAATAAATAAACTTTAAATTGAATACCGATGTGATTCTTCAACATCCAGTTCAAAATGAAGTTGAGCCAAACATTCTTGTGACTCTCTTATCTGATCCATTTTATCAAGAGTGTATTCATTACCTATTTAATACAGTTGTATGCTGTTTTACTCTATGGTCGGTTGCAGTGATCTGTGTAACAAAACTTTATTTCATTAAAACTGAAAGGATCATATTAGGGTTTCACAATCATTTAAGGACATGACACTTTCCCACACCTTTTAGTAACCACATCCAGTGATCTCTATATGTCTGGAGCAAGAATTTTCAGTCATTCAGCTTATGAGAAAAGTGAAGTCAAAATGGTGGGAATTGAAGTCCAATAGCTATGAAGGTCATAAACAGTTTTAAAACCATTATTCCCAGCCAACACCAGCTTTTCTAATGGACTGTATCACTAATGAAGTTATCAGTTCATAAAGATTGAAGTCAAAATGTGAAATTGTGGCACACTTCTTGCCAGCTTCATGATAACCGTGCAAACAAAAACAGTAGAAAAGGACTGGAATTGACATCCAATCGCTCCTCAATTTATGCCATCTTGCATTAACTTTTTGGACCAATCTCGTTCCCCAAGCCTGTTATCCTCGGGAAGGAACGCGAGGCCCTGGGATAATCCGTTTCAGGGAGGAATCTGATTGGCCATTGAAATGCGTAGTTCAATCTTAGTCAGGAATCCTGGCTTCCGGCAACGGATTATCCCAGAGCCTCGCGTTCCTTCCCGAGGATTGCAGGCTCGGGGAACGAGTTGTTTTTGGACTCAAGTTCTTGCCCGAGGTATATATGGAGCTTGCTCGCCACATCATGCCTGAATAAAACTCAGGCTAATAAGGGACAGTACCAAAATCATTTCGTGTTAGACAGAGTGGGCAGATAGTCCTCGCCTTTGCTCTGAATGCTCTCCCCTTGACGAGTATTAAATATTATAAAATAGGACACATTGGGGTAATATAAACCCTCATACCAAATGCATGTAATTTTCCTTCATTAAAATCTTTCATTAAGTCTAATAAATCTTTCTCCATCTTTTTCACTTCGCTAGGATCAGTAAGAAATGAATGCTGTTGTAGAACACCCTGAGCCAGGCTGCGATCAGTTCTTGTTAGTTTTCGCTTTTCCTTTCCTTTCGACACTTCGCCAGCCATTGGACAAGATGCTAATATGCCTTCGTTATCTTTTTTTAATATATTAAAATGCTTTCGTCAATAAAATCTCGATATTATAAATTCCAAAACAAACCACAATGATATTTTGAATTTTTGATATTTTATTTTTTTAATAAAAACACAGGCCCTAGCCTGCGTTCAGGCACGTGTTTCCCAAAAACACAGGCCCTAGCCTGCGTTCAGGCACGTGTTTCCCAGGTACAGGCATACGGTACTTCATCTTGCATCATCATCACTGATCTGAAATAATCTTTACGGAGAGTTTTAGACAATTTTAGATCAGAACACGAGCGAACACAAGTGAACACGAGTGAACACGAATGAACACGAGTGAACACAAATGGAACACGAGTGAACACGAATGGAACACGAGTGAACACGAATGGAACACGAGTGAACACGAATGGAACACGAGTGAATCCACAATATACTTGCAAGATTACGTACTCGGGCTCTGTGCACGAGATTGTAACTGATTAAATGATGCTCCCATTATGCTTTGCACGCTTAGAGTTCAAGGCTCTGAGTTCAAGGTTTGCAATGCACAACCTTTTTTGAATTAGCTGTAATGAAATGCAATTGGCATCCATTTCATGTTGTTTTTCGCTCGGGGCCGTAGCGAGGGACGGTTGGGGTTGGTTAACCTGCCCCCCCCCCCCACTTTTTTAGAATTAACATATTAGGAAAATCGGGTTGGCCATTTGGAAAACTAGGGCAATAATAGTGACACGCTCGTATGTTCCCCAAAATCCTGTAATATACTCATGAACATCGCACGGATCGGAATTTTTCTTTGCCTTGTGATTTCTCGGGTGGAACTAATTAGAAAAGACAAACAGAAATTCCTCTGCATGATTTTCAGTCGTGTTTGTATGTATGGTGATGAGGAGACCGGTGTTTGGTATGCTGATCGATGATGAGTCTATACCAAAATCCTATTATATGCTATAGGTTAATGATACACAAACTTTTGGTTTTATTGGAAATTTTCAAAATAAATAAATGTAATACAATTCTTTGAAATTGCTCTAAAATTATGTAACGAAAATCACATAAATCCTAAATAAAATTAATTAAATTAGCCTGTCTCAGGCCACCGTTTTATTTGGGGTACAGCCTTTTCCAATGAGTAAGGATTTGTCTAAAGGATAGTTTCCACTCAGGAAAATTATCCGTGGATTGGAACGGACAAGAGAATTTTTCTTTGTGTTAAGTTAAAGTCATTAGTTCCAACCCAGAGCTCACAAAACAAAGAATTGAAAGAAAAACTTTCTTGTCCGTTCCAATCCACAGATAATTTTCCTGAATGGAAACTAGCCTTTACAATAATTTTGAGTATAATCATTATAAGTTCATTCACAGTTAAATATTTGAAAAAAAAATGTTTTCACATCGCTTCTGATTTTTCACGTCGTTTTCAAAAAAGTAACCCAAAAATAGCGAATTTGACCTTCGTAAGACAGGCTAATTATATTCTACATTAAAGTTCGTCCTTAATTCTAGAATGTTTCTCTAACTCGTCCCCAGGCTCAAAGTCATCCTCTCCGTCTTGTTCAAATTGGTCGTCTACCAATGCACTGAGTTCTTTCACCAAAACAGCGATCTTGTCCCACGTCTAATAATAATGAAAAAGATTATATTAATAAGCACATAAGCAGCCACACGAGAAACGCGGAAATATTGTTTCCTTGCCATGTTTGCGAAAGGTGGGCAAACCAGGAAACATTGTTTCCCAAAGGCAATTTAAAGGTGGGCAAACCAGGAAACATTGTTTCCCAAAGGTAATTTAAAGGTGGGCAAACCAGGAAACATTGTTTCCCAAAGGTAATTTAAAGGTGAGCAAACCAGAAAACATAGTTTCTGCACCTAGTTAAAGCACACTTCAGAGACGAAAAATATCTGAATTTGTTTCAAAAACCTCTGCTTTCTGGGAAGAAGATTTTCTTTCTGGAACTATCGCCTGTATTCTAAAAGTATACGTACACTCACACTCAAAGAGTAGAGGTTCAATCTGAGCTCCCCTTGAGTGTCAGTGCTGTTTTTGAATAGCTGGAGGGTTAGTGTCGTACTTATTATGTGACTACTCACCCTCCAGCTATTCAAAAACAGCACTGACACTCAAGGGGAGCTCAGATTGAATCTCCACTCTTTGAGTGCGAGTGTGCTTTTAGAATACAGGCGTATGTTTCCAACGATGAACTTAAGGAAACATCACTTATGGAAATATCAAAATTTCAAATGTTTCCGTAACTGACTACTTTGCCAATTTTGAAAAATGGTATTTTTTTATAAATGATATGATTGATTTCATCTAGAACTGCTATCAAGGTATTGGAGGAGCATACTTACTTCTGCACTCAGTGATGTAATATCTTCAGGTGCGAGCACGGCATCATGCGAAGGCTCATCAAGATAAGTAAATATCTAGAAGATGAATGTTTAGTTAATCACAAGCTAAACTTTATAAATCACAACAAGGTTGTTTTAAATTTTCTAAAGTATATTAAACCTTGTCTACTTTTCCCATCATTTCGTCAGACCATACCGCTCCCTCTTCAAAAAAGTCAGATTTCTAAAAACATAACATATAATTGACATGTAAATTGTGGAACTACCATGTATATTTCGCATAACTTTGGATGTGTAAGCCTGCACAGTCTCACCAGCTTACCCTTATTGACATAGCTAATGCATATATAGTTTACTGTGGTACACGATTCTCACCTTTGCAAGATAAAGACGAAAATGTTCCAAATCCACTTTAGTTTCTTCATACACCTCAAACATTGTTTTCATCGCACTTCTATAAAATGGCAATTAGGAAAACGTGGTGGTTCAGTGTAGGTAGTATGCTACCATAAGCTGTCATGGTTTGTGTCTGAACTACCTGAAAAAGATATATCAAACGTGGTGGTCCAATGTACTGCCTAGGTAGTATGCTACAATAAGCCTGTCGTGGTTTGTGTCTGAACTACCTGAAAAAGATATATCAAACGTGGCCGTCCAATGTAGGTAATATTCTACAATAAGCTGTCGTGGTTTGTATCTGAACTACCCGCAAAAGCATATCTCAAGCGTGGTGGTCAAGTGTAGATATAGTATTCTGCAATAAGCTGTTGTGGTTTGTGTGTGAACTACCTGAAAAAGATATCTCAAATGTAGTGGTCCAGTGAAGGTAGTATTCCACAATAAGCTGTCGTGGTTTGTGTCTGAACTATCTGAAAAAGATATCTCAAACGTGGTGGCCCAGTGTAGATAGTATTCTACAATACACTGCCGTGGTTTGTGTCTGAACTACCTGAAAAAGAAAACTCAAACGTGGTGGTCCACAATACACTGCCATGGTTTGTGTCTGAACTATCTGAAAAAGATATCTCAAACGTGGTGGTCCAGTGTAGTATTCTACAATAAGCTGTCGTAGTTTGTGTCTAGCTGAATTACCTGAACAGAAAAGATATCTCAAACGTGGTGGTGCAATATTGTAGATAATAGTGATTCTACAAATACAATAAGCTGATCCGAGTCCGGTGTAAGTAGCATGCTACAATAAGCTGTCATGGTTTGTGTTTGAACTACCAGAACGACGATGTTTTTATTTTTTTCACGTAGTTCAAACACAAACCATGGCTGCTTAACGGAGAGTAACGAACACGTCATTTTGACTTACTTCATTCCATCAATGATTTCTCGTGGGAACAATGTACCAAAACCAACAAACGTAAACTTGTCCAAAGTAGTGTTGGGTAGGTGACAGTCGGAGAGTTTAGGCGTGGCTGACGCGCTCCACCAGATGTTCACCGCTAGGTTACGTTCAACTGATGAAACATGGTGGAACCTAGTGTGGTAAAGTAGTATAGCATCTATATCTAGAATGGCCGTAATGGTAGGTTTCACCATGGATAATAAAATAAATGGATATGAAACTAGCTGACGTGACCTAATGTTTTTACTGGGATTGATGGCGTGGCTGGTTGCCTCAACCTAATTGAAAACCAAATTCTCAAAAACGGCATGTTTAGCAATAATACAGCTAAACATTTTAGTCAAAGAGCAAATAAATGTAACCACGCCATTCTACGATGAAAACTCTAAGTATTCCCAGTCAATTTTAGCAAATATTTCAAGCACTAAACAGTGAAAAATACATCGCAAATTTCGTTAAAATTTGTGACGCCAATTTCGTAGCTACAAATGTAAAAAATACAAAACAAAGACGAAAAACATTTACCTTGAATACTTTGTCGTGGCTTAGGCATGTTTTTAAAACAATTAGACCAGTTTACGCTTCAAGATCACCCTTTTAAAGTGGAAAATATAGCAAAACAACAAATATGCCGAGAACTTTGGTAACATTCGCAATACGCGTGACGTCACGTTTTTCAACAAGGATGCAGCATTGAACTATAAATAAACTGGAAGGCTAACTGCTATGATGAAGGCCTATGATTTGATGAAGCCAAAATAGTTTTTCTGAGTTATGAGCAGAAATACTTGATCTCAAACTTTGGGCTATATATCAAATTGAAGCTATTGAAAATTGCTAATCGGTGTGGAAATTTCAAGAAAGAAATATATTTTAAAAATACAAAAACAACTGCAAAATGGCAAAATATCGGTAATTATGTTTGTAGTTTTCAATATTTCCCTTTTAGCTAAAGTCTTGAAATTTCTACACCAAATAGCGTTTTTCAATAGCTTCAATTTGATATATAGCCCAACGTTCAGTGTTGAGTATTTCTGCTCATAACTCAGGAAAACTAAAATGCACTGGCTTCAATTTCCCCCCCTGAGTTAGCCTTCCAGTTTATTTATAGTTCAATGGGATGCAGTCAATGACGTCAGAAGTTTCATATCCATTTATTTTATTATCCATGATTATA